CTGGCCTCGAATTGTTTACCTTGGTCAGTGGTAATGATGGCGGGCGTGCCGAAACGTGCCACCCAACCGTCGAGAAATGCTGCGGCCACAGTTTGTGCGTTCATGTTGGGAAGTGGAATCGCTTCTGGCCATCTGGAGAAACGATCAATGATTGTGAGACAGTACTTATAACCTCTTACCTCCGGAAGGGGGCCAATGAGATCTAAGTGTATATGGTGGAATCTCTGATCCGGGATTGGAATTGCTTTTGGAGTATTCTTAGTGTGTCGTTGGATTTTACTGCGTTGGCATTGTAAGCAAGTGCGCGCCCAATGAGTGACGTCTTTGTTGATCCCTGGCCAAACGAATTTTTGATTAATCTGCTTCTTAGTGGCTCTGCCGCTGGGGTGTGCCATCCCGTGAACGGTGTCGAAAATTTGTTTTCTTAGGCTTGCTGGTACGTATGGTCGAATTGCTCCTCTTGAACAATCGCAGTACAGTGGTATATTTGAGCCAGGTAAGGTGAATTCCTTTAAATCCAAAGCTGATCCGTTTTCCAAAAGCTGTTGTAGCTCATCGTCTCTTGCTTGTTCTGTGGAAAGCTCTTCTGTCGTGGTTATGATAGGTAATTGTACAGAGTTGATGCGTGACAATGTGTCAGGAGCGACATTTTCTTCTCCTGCGATGTATATGATTTTGTTTGTAAACTGTGCGATTAGATCGAGTTGTCGTGCCTGTCGTGGTGAGGCTTTGTCCAATCGTTGATTGAGCGCGTGAGTAAGGGGTTTGTGGTCTGTTCTAATTGTGACCATGCCGCCCTGCAAAATATCTTTAAAATATTTGACGCTTTCATACATCGCTAATAATTCACGGTCGTAAGTGCTGTACTTTTTTTGTGTGTCACTGAGCTTTTTTGAAAAGAAAGCTATAGGCGAAAGCTGGTTGTTGTTCACCTGTTCTAGTGTAGCTCCGATGGCAGTGTCAGATGCATCGGTAGGAAGAAGTAAAGGCGCTCCCTCCACTGGATGTGTGAGGAGAGTGGCATGTACTAGCTCCATTTTGCACGCCTTAAATGCAGCCATTGTCTCGTCCGTCCAAGGTACGGGCCTTTTGTCATTTTTGCGGCTGTCTTTGAGTAGGTTGTTTAATGGCGCTTGATTCTTGGCTGTGTGCTTTAAATGTCGGCGGTAGTAGTTAAGCATGCCGAGAAATCTACGGAGTTGTATTAAGGTTTCAGGTTGAGTGAAATTGATGATTGCGTTTACCTTGTCAGGTAAAGGTTTGATGCCCTCGCTGCTGATTTCGTGTCCTAAGAATTGTATATTCTTTTGTCCGAAACGACACTTTGCTGGATTGATTGTGATGCCTGCGTCCTGCAGTCGTTGAAAGACTTGTCGTAGATCTTTCTGGTGTTGTTCTTCGTTGACCGAAGCAATGAGTACGTCATCTACATAACAGAAACAATAATCTAAATCTTGAAGTACCTCGTTCATTAGACGCTGGAAAGTTTGAGCAGCGTTTCGTAACCCAAAAGGCATAGTGACGAATTCGAAGAGGCCGAAAGGGGTCGTTCCCGCTGTTTTCGGAATGTCTTCTTCTAGGACAGGTACTTGGTGGTAAGCCTTGACTAGATCCAATGTAGAGAATATGTGTTTTCCACGTAGATTACTGGTGAGGTCATGAATGTGAGGTAGAGGATACCTGTCTGGAGTTGTAACTGCATTAAGACCGCGGTAGTCACCGCACGGTCTCCACGAGCCCGGTTGCTTCTTCGGAACTAAATGCAATGGCGCCGCCCATGGACTCTTGGAGGGTCGACAGATCCCTAGTTGTAATAAATGGGCGAATTCCGCTTTTGCTGTTTTGAGCTTATCTGGTGGAAGTCGACGAGGTCGGCTGGCCACAGGAGGTCCCTTGGTTTGAATGTTGTGATAAATTCCGTGTGCCCTCTCAGTAGGTAGCTGCAGCTCGGTGACAATTTTTGGGTAGTCCGCCAGAATGCGGTGATATATTGATAATGAATCCAGTGTCTTTGCTGCGACGTAACCTATTCGAAGCTTAAAACCTGGAATGGTTAGTTGAGTGGTCTTATCAATAAGACGCTCACCTTGGATGTCCACGATGAGTCCAAAATGTTTTAATAGGTCTGCTCCTATTACTGGACGAGAGACATCAGCTACGGTAAATTGCCATGTAATTGGTCTGCGTATCCCTAGATCTAGGGTAAGAAGTTTTCGCCCGTAGGTCTTAACTTGTGAGCCATTTACAGCGTATAGGACCAATGGCGCTGGTGAAGTGGGTTTTCCCAGCCTTGATACTGGTAAGATGGAGATGTCTGCGCCCGTGTCAACGAGAAAGGTTAAACCTGTAGTCTTGTCTGCCACATGAAGCCGGGAGGATATCTCAAGACCGTCGTTAGCGGCTTGTACAGACGGCGGTCTTATTCGTTTCCCGGAACTGATTTGATTTGTGTGTTGCATGGGGGTGTGCATTTACGAGCTCGCTCCCCAAATCGTTGATGGTAGTAGCACTGACCTGCTTCGTTAGATGACTTGATTGACGCCTTGACTGGTTGTCGAGAGCGGCTTATGCTACGGCTTCTTGAACGCTTTTCTTTAGATAATCGTTCTACCTTGTTTGTCAGGGCAGCCATTTGTTTGATAAGCTGCTGAATAGAATCCCGCTCTGTCGTTGCTGCGGTTGTTTGTGCGGCATGGATGTCCACTGAAGTGGGATGTTCGTTGAGTTTATCTGCACATTCCGCTAGTTTATCCAAGGTAGCACTGTCAAATATTAACAGCATCTCATGTATGCGAGCGGGCATTCGCTGCAGCCAGAGGGTTCGCAACAAGCCCTCGGTGGCATTCTCTCCTGCAAGAGTCTTCATTTCGCGTAGTAACTGCGATGGCTTCTTGTCACCGAGTTCAATGCCCATCAGTAGCGTTCGCATTTGCTTTTCTTTCGAGTCTGTGAATCTCGCAATTAGTGCTTCCTTGAGCTGCTTATATTTGTCGGTTGCGGGAGGGTTCTCAAGGATGTCCGTGACAGTAACCATTGTAGGCTCATCGAGATGTCTGATGACTGCGTTATATTTAATCTCGTCGGATCTGACGCGATAAGTGTTAAATTGAGATTCTAACTGTACGAACCATAACGTAGGACGATTTTTCCAAAACGTTGGTAGACGTATGTATCGAAATTCTGCGGCGCACTCTTCCTGTCGCGGCATCGCCGGTAGCGGGTGTTGCTGACTTCGTAAATTCGTGTCCTCATGAATTGATTGTGAGGATCCGCTACCTTGGCTAACGCTGATAGGCGGTGTTGGCGGTGGCGTTCTCGCGGTCGACATGCCGGCACGTGGACGTAGTGGTTATGTCTTGTCGCAATTTCCAATTGTTGCTCACGCTATCAAAAGCGATCACGTCGGGGTCACCAATTATGTAGCTGTGGTACATATAATGTAGAGAATCGGATGGAAATAACTGGCAGGCGGATGTACTAAAGAATATTTATTATTATGTCGCGAGAACGTTACAATGTAACCGTTAGAAAAATCACAAAGAGATGAGAAGTCAGTATGAAAGTATTGTGTAAGGGAAAGTCTGTAGTCAATCTTGTGCGCTATAGCGCGCCATCTGCACGCAGCGCGTGTGTATCAATGAGCGAATGAGAGAGTGTAGAGTGTGTGTCCCTACAGTTTGATATTTGTTTAAAGCGAGAAAGAGAGTTCTAGAACAGTCTAGTGCAGGAACAGAAAACAGACCACTTGATTCCAACTATCTGAAAACGAGTTCTGAGTATAATCTATAGCATGCTCATTTTTCGCGCACGCTGATTGTGTTTGTTTGTATTTTAGAAACATTAAATAAAGTTTTTTAATTGGAATACTGATATATTTTGCGTTTTACTATCGATTTCGCGGGGCAACTCATATTAGGACCACAATTTTTTGCGATTTGCTCACTTTTTACATTTCTTTAATTTTCAAACAAAATGGAATTTGAATTAAATTTTATATATATAACGTTATCTTAAAACTTATTAAATTCCCCTCAAAATGACTTAATATTTTTTAAAATTCTGCCTACAGACTTTTAGCATTTATCCAAAATAAACTCGGTATCTCATAATAGAGGGCTTTCCTCTATTTGTAACAATATAAATATATAAGTTTCTATATACAAATTGAATTTAATTATAGGAGAATATAGGCATTCTTAATGTGGATTAATGGACCATTTGAGTCTGCATCTCCAACTGAAGTTGAATATTATTAGAGAAAATCAACCTCGTCTAATGTTGCAACTCCAAAAAATTTTATTACAACTAATGAGATGACAATGAATTTTAAATCTACGACTGAAAATTTAGATCATAACTCTAATTTTATAAAGTAATCAAACAAGCCAAAGCAAAACAATTAGATAATCAGTTGTCGAAACATACATTATTAGACATAAAGAGGAAAGAACAGTTTATACATTATCAATAGAAAAAAACAGTTTATACATTCTCAACTTATCAATTAATGTTTAACTTTTGTACTAAAAAATATTCGTTATCAATTGATGATTTCATATAACGTTTGCAAAAGAGAAAATGATTGAAAATTAAAAAAACAAGTTATTCTAATAAATTCTATTATTTTAAGATTATAAACATTTAAAATATGGCATTTACACATTGAAAATATGTTTTTTTATTAATTATGAATTATAATTTTAAAACAATTTTAGATATAGAATAATTTTACAAATTCCCTTTACATTAATGTAAAGGGAATTTGTAAAATTATTATTTTTTTTATACGAAAATACCTTTACATTTGACATTAAATGTTTTAACTTATATTTTAGATTAGTTGGATATTTTTACATAAACATGATTAATATTTTTATAATTGTTATAATTAAAGAGCATAAAAAACATATTTTATATAATACATACATCGAAATGATCTTCACAACAAAAATAATTCCATTTTCCTGATTCATCAACACGATGTAGACTTTTAAACCACCTTTTTCTCATATTTTCAGTTTAAGGCACATAAAAGAACAATTTTTACGATGTTTTAGTTGTTGTGCTTTTACACAAAGATATAAAACACGTTTTGTACGTGTTTTCTGTACTTATTTTTAAAATAAATTAATTCCTTACTGAATAATCGTGGTTTGGTTGTTGCAGTATGACGTCACAGCACGTCGGAAGGCTCGGTCATATCCGGACCGTCTTCGGCATTTCAAATAATATAATTCTTTATTGTTTATTTTCTTGCACAATGTGTTCAAAAATTATTAACAAATTGCATTTAAAAATATACATATATATATATAAATTATAAAATGCAATATTTTTCAAAAATTATGCAAACTCCCTATTACAGCTGCTAAGATGTACACAAAATCATAACGTCGTGGTGAAGCGCCAAACTAAATATTTATACTTTTAATATTTATAATACTTTTTTCACATAAAAATTTGTACGTATTCTACAATAGTTATATTAAAACGTGCAAAAAGTTTTAAAATGATAAATATTAGTCTTCCTTTTGAAAAAAATTACGGAAAACCACCATTTTTTCGGTCGCCTAATGGAGATCCTTCTAAGATTTAGGACAATTTTAAAATTTAAATATACAATATGTCCCAGAATAATCGTCAAATATTTCGTGTGCTGGTAAAGCGGACTCTAAACTAAATCGAAAAATCCTGGAACATTTTGCAATTTTCGCAATAGTTAACACGATATTAATTACTAAAAATCGCCGAATATTAGTTTTCAATAATTTTTTATTCAAGTACTATCAACTTTACAGAAGAATAGCAAATGACAAAAATTGTTTATTTTCTTCTCATAGAGTACTGAGAATTTGTATAGAATTTCTTAATACATTTTCTCATGTTGGTAAAAATAGTTGCCAAAAATTCTGAAAACATTCTTAGAATTCTATGAGAAGAAAATAAACAATTTTTGTCTCTTACTGTTTTTCTAAAGTTGTAAAGTTGATAATATTTGAGTAAAAAATTATTAAAAACCAATATTCGGCGATTTTTAGTCATTAATATCTTGTTAACTATTGCAAAAATTGCAAAATGGTAGAGAACTTTTCGACTCAGTTTAATCCGCTCTAGCAGCACACAAAATATTTGGCGGTCATTCTGGGACACTCTGTATATAAAATCGATTATGGATACTGACCATTGACTATTTTGTTATTGACACTCATTAATAACAAAAGTGAAGAGGCATCACTTGAGCAAATAATGATTAAAAAATATGTTTCCTTTTTTTAATTTCTGTTGTATTTTTAATACATTTTACATTTATGTATGTAATTTAAAATGTAGAATTATTGCTCCCGTAATTGACTTATACGAAATGTTATAATAAAAAAGAACATAATTAGGCATAAATTTAGATAATATAGTTATGAAATCAAGACACAGTAACTTTTGAAAAGAATTACTTGTATAATAGTTTTCTTTTCAAAAGTTTTGTTTATGATAATTTCAATATAGAAATAAAACATTAAATGAATACACTACTCTATAAACATTAAAGTTATAATATTGGTCTTCTTAGATATTCTTTTATATAGGGTGTCCAGCGAGACTTTTCCAATCTCTCACAGGAAGGTAGATGAGATCGAAATAAATATAAAAGTCCTTTACCGTTTAACGATATCCGTAATAATAATGGAGATATTAAAGTTTGCAATTGTACTAGTGAGAGCGCGCCTATAGAAAGAATAGAAACGGCTCCAGGTATAGCCCGGTCCAGTTTATCGAATGTTGTCAAACGATTGATGCGCGCCGGCAGGAGAGGCAAGAGGGGAAGCGCACCATTGCTTAGCTCTCGGCATCGCCACTCACACGTTTCACCGGGGGTGATCCCGATTGATCACGGCTCGATTGGACACCACCAATCACAGCGACCGGTGCTTAGGAGCTTTGTAGTCTCAAGCGCTGTGAGTGGCTCGTGTCCAATTGAGCCGTGTCCAACTGGGTGCCACCCGTCTCACCGCACCGCACGCGCACCAAAGGACTCGCACGATGACCGCTACGCACATTCGCGATTACATTACTATGTGATAATAACACTGCAAAAATAGGACAAATACAAACAATAATAAACTTCGATGAATAAAAATGTCGAAAGAGAGAAAGCGATGAAACCTATGGAAATCTACGGAAAATGTAATTAATTTCTATCATAATCTGTCGCTTCTCTAAATCGAAAGGAAAAAATTTTAAGAAAAATGTATCTGAAAGAAATAATATCATTCTCCACCATTCTCTATCGTTTCCTGTTAGGAGAGTATGACTTTATCAAAATACAAAAAAATATCAATAAATGATATTATTTTTAATGATATTATTTTTAATGATATTATTTCTAATGATATTATTTCATGATATTATTTCTTTCGGATACTTTTTTCTTAAATTAGAAGATACTAAGGTTCAATGAGTATAAAACAATATCAATAATAAACCACAGAACCATTATAATATATATGTATGTAATAAATAATTTAAATACAATTTAATACAAAAATC